CACTAAAATAATAGATTGAAACAAAGGGCTATGGCAAATATTTTTGTGGCTTTTTAGTGGATAGGACGAACACAAAATATATGTAGCTAAGGGTAAATAATCCTACCGTGGTAACAAAAGCACTGATACCAGATGATACGATGGGAGGTCCCGATCTTCACGACGTAGGATCAATCACCAGATAACTAGCTAAAGAACAGCCAGATAACTTGTTGTAGGCAGCGATAACTAGTGCAACCTGGCAAATAAAACTCGAAGCCAACCACCGTCTTTAATCGGCAACCTAAATCGAGGATTCGCCCAACCACACTCTTAAGAAACCAACCAACACAACCTACAATCAATCAAGGTAAACCTCGAAGGGAGTAGGAGCACCAATTAGGAGCGGATGAAGCCGTCGCTTCTGTAAATCCCGCAAAGGAAATCACAAGAGCAAAGGGGTAGAGATCACTCTCAATATTTGTTAGCACACAGCTGAACAAAGGGGGTTCTGTATTTTGATTCTCAAAAGTCTTCTTTTGCTTAGGAGTACATGGATATTTATATTAGGAACAGCCCTCCTAGATAGGTATAAACACGAAAAGAAAAAGAAAGGGTAGGCTATGTGAACAAGCTTCCACGAAATGAGTTTCTAAGTAGTTTTCACGTGGCTGTTGGTCTTCTGCGCAGTCTTCAGTGTTTTGGCAATAACTCCATCTTGGAAAATCCAAATGACATGTTGTTGGTTGCGTTGGAAAGCTAACTTGATAAGGTTTCACACCATGTATAGCATGCACCACGAAACATTATAGAATGGTACAGTTTAATATGAGAAGTTGTACCAATATCATGTCCTGAGAAGACCGTTAACCCTCTGAGCAGTCTGCACTAAAACTGGTCGGATCTGCACTAAAACTGGTCGGATCTGGTCGGCCTTGAAGCATTAGAAACTAGATTTCACAAGCTTTTCAAAAAGTCCTCATTGACCTCCATAGCCTTCGGGAATAAAAAGTTATGATATTTTATTCTTGACAGTTCTGTCAGTTTCAAGAGGTCTGACTAGTATGTACTAAGCTGGTCGGATTTCATTAGTTAGAAGTCCCAACTGGTCGGCGTTAGCATCATTGGAAAGTAGACTCGACAAGCTTTCCAAAATGTGCTCATTCACCTTCATAGCCTCTGGAAATCAAAAGTTATGAATATTTCTTTCCGACTGTTCTGCAGGACTGGTCTGGTTCGAGTGTGGTTTTTCTCTGTGGTCATCACCTTGTGTGTCCTTGCCATTCTCTTTAGTGAACCTGAGCAACAACAACCTGCGCGACTTAGGCAGTATATAATTCTCATTAATATTAAATTGAACTTCATAAAGTAGCGCGTTCACCTCTTGTTGTAGCTTCTTTGCTCGACTACGTGTAATTGGGCCACCAAAGGCTTGGGCTGGTGTCGATGTAGGTGATACTTGAGTTGGTGTTACTTGAATTGGAGGTTGTAACATGTTGGTTGATGACGTGGTCATATCAAACACTACATGGTAGCACATGCTGTGTTCGAGCTTAACAAAATATAGGAAATAAACGTCACCTTGTGAGCATATTTTTTTTTAATAATGGAACAAGGTTCCAGCCTATACTCCACCAAAAGGGGGTACATAACTGTTCAATACATCATGAGCACATAGACTCCGTGCATCTTCAACAAAGAGTTTAGAAATGATTAACACTAAAAAATAAGTAAAAACTAAAGTTAAGCTTCAATGTTATTCCAAAATTTCCAACCGAACTTCACAAAAACTTCCATGATGACTGTTTCAAGCAATCTGCATCCATCCTTGAGACTTGTTCTTGCACTTTCCTTATGTAGTAGCAACCATTGACAGAGCTAGGCACGGGCTGGAGGCTAGGGAGCAGTGCTACCTCTGCGACCAAGGGCGCGAAACAATTGACCATATCTTGGCAGACTGCCCATTCACCAGAGAGGTTTAGTTCTTCAACTTCCAAGCGCTGGGACGGCAACTACCATAGCCAGCAGCAGCTACAACTCTACGTTGGTGGCGCCAACTATGTTCTGTCTACAACGGAGAGCAGCATCAAGGTCTCGACTCCCTGTTCGCGCTTGTTTGTTGGTAGATTTGGAAGGAGCGCAACACACGTTGCTTCCGAGACTCCACCTCGACCGTAAGCGAACTCCTCCAGATCGTGAAGGCCGGGGCCGATCGTTGGATTGAAGCCGGCCCAAGGGGCTAGGAGCTTTGGCTCGCCTGTAAGATGGCTAGAGCGCAGTTTGTTTATTACCATATGTAGCCATAAAAAAACACTAATGCAGCCGGTGATCAGCATCCTGTAATGTTCAAACTCTCTACCTCCTTAATACAAAGATACTCATTGCTTGTGCGTATTCGAGAGAAAAAAAAAAGACAGATCAAGTGTGTTGCCCTGAAGATGACCTACAAAAAGGTGTTAGATTTAGCCTTATTGAATACCATATCGTTTCTATTCAACCATAAGGCCCAATATAAAGCAGCAGCGCCTACTAAAGTTAATTTGATTTCTAAGTTTTGGTCGAATGCCAAACAACCAAGAATCAAACAATGTGAAATGCTAGAGAGGGGCTGAATTCCAAAAGTGATGTGCACGGTATTCTAAATAAATCTAGCAAAATGGCAATAAAAGAAAAGGTGTTGTATTGTTTCGATAGAACTACAAAAACAACACTTGACACTACCTTGTCAATTTCTTTTTGCTAGATTATCTTTTGTTAGGGTGACACCCTTTAAAAGATACCAAACGAAAATCTTAATTATCAATGGTACCTTGATGTGTTCCAAAGTGGACTCTTGTGAGTTACTACCCCTTCCTATATCATATACTTGTACATAGAATGGACCCTGAAAGTGCCGTTGTTATGTAATCTCCAAATGAAACTATCCTTACCGTAAGTCATGTTAACCAGAGTTAATTTAGATACCAGGTCAAGCCAATCATCTAGATTGGAACCCACTAAGGTTCTCCTAAAGGACACATTAAGTGGTATGGAGCTCAGTAGACACTGTGGCATCTCTTCTCCTCACAATCCTATATAGAGAAGGATAAACAACTCCAAGAGCATCATGTATTTGGAAGTATCCACATGCCAAGAATTGGTCTTTTACCGCCATTAGGCTGAACCAAAAAAATTTGTCACCCTGGTTGTTTCTTTACTTGAGTGAGGGTTTTATTGGACAAGTATTTCCTTTTAAGGAGATTTTGCCAAACACCCTCCTCATTGATGAGTTTAAACAACCATGCACTCAATAGACATTTATTTTGAATATCCAAGTTTTGGATACCCAAACCTCCAAAATCCTTAGGCCTACAAAGTACGCTCCAAAAGCCATGTTTATTATAAAAATATATTCAACGATCTATCTAATATACTAATTATGTATAAACTTATTTAAAGATATAAATGTTGCAAGTACCCCTCATACATTGCATTTCTTGCCCTAAGGCAACTAGTTCTCACACCAATCCCAGCATTGTTATAAGTCTCAAGGAATATTATGTGCTCCCAAATATTTAGCAATACAGGCCCAGACTACCCTTGCTACTGGGCAAGTAAAAAACAAATGAGAGCTTGTGTGGCCGCTCCAAGACATATACGGATGCTTCAAAACACCAAAGCTACTGTGCAGAGTGCAGAGTGCAGAAGATGAGAACAATGTCCTCTTGCACATTGCAGAGTGCAGAAGATGCGTGGCCGCTGAACCTTTCCACAGTGACAAGCCAGGCAAAGCCATCAGTGAAGGACAGCTCATAGGCAACTTGTGGGGGTGGACAAACTGCGCGCGCTCCGTGTCCATCCAAAAGTCCGCTCTCCTTTCCTGTGCCGGTACTGCGCTGCGCCGCGAGGGACTGCCGACAGCGACTGCCACCCAACAGCGACTGACGCACCGCGAGGGATGGCGCGGCGACGCGCCAAGATTGGTGGCGCGGCAGGCCCACCACGTTAGCGGTCAGCAATTTCGGTCGTCGCCACGTCAGCCCGCTGCTGCGTCATCATATATGGCGCGGCACAAGTATTTGACCGCGCCAGGACAATAGACATGGTCAAAAGTGTTAGTTTTAAAAAATAAAAATCGACGGGGTTAAATTTAAAATTAGTGTAAAAAAGTGTTAAAATAAAAAAAAAATCGTTTTTTACAGGATGCCTGGAGCAGACGAGAGCTAGCTAGGTTTGGCAAGGAGATGCTCGGCATTTGGCGGCGCCCGGGAGGCGGCAGAACAGCTAATGAAATGACGACGGAGGCACAGAGCAGAAAGGGGCAACGGTGGGCATGGCCAGCGGCACGGCAAGGTCGATCGGCACCCAGAGATTCGCGGGGCTGGGCAAGCACCGTCATAACTCATAAGCGAGGAGAAACAGGATGGAGTTTCAGCTGGTCGGTCGGTCGGGCCCTCACCGGCAAGTTCAAGATGAAGTGTGGAGTTTCAGCTGTGAAAAAGAGAAACAGGAGCTGAGCTGTGCCCAGAAAAAGAAGAAGACAGGCAGCCAAAAAAATGAAAAAAAGAAGAAAAAAAAATAAGAATTGCACAAGAACAGCAAAAACCTTTTTTTTTCAACTGGCAACTACATAACCGCATAAACGATCTCTACGCACAAAAACAAAATACACTTGGCAATAAAAAAACAACCGTGCAGCAGCACGAATGCATCAACCATTTATGTAGCTTATGGTTATTTAATTTGGTTTAGAAAATAAAAAAAAATCAAATTCAAGAAAAAAATCATAGGCTTTATCTATGATCCGCAATCACATCGCAACATTATATACTTTGGGGCTATGACACATTATGTCGAGCCAGGTCCTGCAATATTTGAAGCATCAAGCCATCAATCCAGAGTTACATATTTCTTCTACACCATCACAAGAAATGAATCGCTCTAACCTAGAACAAAGCAAAAGCGTAAAGCATTGAGAAACTCCAGATCACGAGCCTGTACACCATCTACAGCCTAAACTCCACCACAGCTGAACTCCAGACTCACCTACCGAAGAATGAAAAGAAGCCGCCTTTCTTCTTGGGCCTCTCCTGCTCCTCGACCATGACTGCTGTCATCGCATCTCTTTCCACCAATCTCCAAGTAGCCTGCTCCAGAGCAAGGCCCGCAGGCGTGGGCGGGTCATTGAGCACCAACGGCACACCCCTATTTGTGCTCCGGATCACCTCTGCATCCTCCGGCACCACACCTAGCAAAGGCAACCCAAGCATTTCCTGCACGTCAAGCGCTGACATCATGTCCTCCCCCTTCACCAGGTCTGGTCGCACTCGGTTGACAATAATCTTGATATCTTTGATGCCATCGCACTCCAACAGTCCTGCGACACGGTCAGCATCACGGAGAGCCGTAATGTCAGGGGTGGTAACGAGCACTGCCTCTTCTGCAGGTGCAATGGCAGTGACAAACCCAGCATCAACACCTACAAGACAAATGGCAAGCAGCTTTACATATTGCTGATTCTAATTTCAACACCATGACTTGTTTAGGGGGGGCGGGGGGAATACAAATCATGTTATGCAGCACACTGTATATGACTGGAATAAATATGGGAGTGCTTAAGGTTCCACTGTGACCACAGATGATACTTTAAGACAGTGAGCAGAAATCAAAAACCAAATTAGGCATCATTTTCACCGCTGATAGCCTGATACTAACAACGTTTGTGCTCCACAGTTCAGAAATGTAATAAGATATGGCATTCTAGGAGACTAGGGCTACAATCTTGGCAAATGGGTCTAAACAGTATTTTTGACATTTTTTTACACAGTAATAGGTCCAGAACATCCCACTATAAGAATGGACTCTGATCATGAAAAGGATACAAAGTGCATCCTGGCTCAGAATTCTTAATCTGCGGCAATGGACGGGAACAAAATGTGTGGGCCAAATGAGTTGACGTCAACATCCCAAGCAAACTAAGGGATACCTAAGAGTCTAGATTCTTCAAAAGAAAATTACCAAGTATCTAAAATTAGACCATCATAATTTTTTTCTTCCTGGCTCTGAAATTACAAGTACTCTGAACACCACATCACAAACATGAACTAGCATTATGACACCATGGAAAGGATGCCACCTGCATCCTGACTCTGAATTATTAGCCTGTAGCAATTGACAAGAAAAAATGTGGGAAAACGATGATATTGACATCAGCATCCCAAGCAAACCAAAGGTGAAAGGACACCTAGCATATAGATTCTAGGGCTTCATTATAAGCTCCTAAATTGTCCATTTAAACGCGATGCCATTGTATACCGGTATCTGATGGAGCAAAAGGAATTTTTAGATAGGATGCCACATGCATCCTGACTCAGCAGTCGATATAAGAAAAAAATGTGGGAAAACTATGATGTTGACATCAGCATCCCAAGCAAACCAAGGGACACCTAGCATATAGATTCTAGGTGTTCATTATAAGCTCCTAAACTGTACATTTGTAAATGACATGTCATTTTCACCATTTCATTCAAATATCTGATGGAACAACATGTAGCTCAGAGAGGAAGTTAGTGAGCATCTAAAATTAGGTCATTCCATCCTGGCTCTGAAATTATCGGTTTTCTGAACATCACATCAGAAACATGAACCATTATTAGGAAATCAATGAGTACCCTGGCTCTGAAATCCTTCTTAATCTTGGATAATCAATAGTGATGAATGTGTAATAGCTGATGTGAAATCAACATCCCAATTGCTGCCTGCTAGCATTCATTCAGCGACCAAAGCTCCTAGACCATAAGTTTGACTAGAACAAATGGAAATTACCAAATGTGACTAGAGCAAGGCTCCTGGAACGTCCCAATTCAGTTCAGTCTATAACGATTACTAATATGGCTAGACAAGAGTACAGGTATTCTTGGAGGCGGAAACTACCAAGCATGTAAAATTAGGTGACAAGGTCAATTAAACACATACAAATGGCTCCTTAATCTGTTGGATCGAGATAATAATTCATTACAATCGGCATTGGATGCGAGCAATGAATGCAAGACAGACCAAAGAAAATGCGGGGTTAGGAGTGGCGGACCTGCGGGGCAGTCGATGAGGATGAAGGCGGGCGGGTTAGGCGAGCGTCGTAGCGCGTCGGCAACCCAGGTAAGGGTCTTGGATCCGAACGCGAGGGGCATCTTGGAGCGTGGCTTGGAGAGGCAGAGGAGGTGGAGGTCCTGGAGCGCGCGGTGGCGGACGAGCGCCTGGTCGAGTCGGCAGTCCCCGGCGAGGACGTCTGCGGCGGTGAGGTGGACGCGGTTCTCGAGGCCGAGCAGGAGGTCGAGGTTGCGGAGGCCGGCGTCGGCGTCGACGGCGACGGCGGGGAGTCCGAGGCGCGCGAGCGAGGCGGCGAGGTTGGCGGTGGTGGTGGTCTTGCCGACGCCGCCTTTCCCGGAGGTGATGACCACCACGCGCGGGGTCGGGCCCGAGAGCTCCGGCGCCGTGCGCCCCCCGTGGTGGCGCGCCGAGACGGCCCGCGTGGATGCCGCCGCCGCCGGCGGAGGGGGTAGCGGGAGCGGGAGGAGGCGCGGCGGCGCGAACGCCATCAGCGGGGTAGGGGCGGGTTGGTTAGGGTTCTGTTTGGGAGCGGGAGGTGGTGAGGTCAGTCCGAGTCGGAGGTGGTGGCGGCGGCGGCCGCGGCCGCGACAACGGCCGATGCTACAGTACCGGGTGGGGCCGGGGAGGCAGGGACAGGGAGGTGGCGCTCGCTAGTCGCTACTGATGATTTGTGTGCACTTGTGCCACCACATCTCTGAACTCTTGGGGGAAATTGGGACCCACGTTCAGGAACGGGGACAGACTTTTGCACCAACAACTCAAGGCCCCACGCATGGATCAATCGATTTTTTTTTATAGAAAAAAATATTAGAAGACAAGAAGAATCCCTAAAATTCAAATGGAGACTCAAAGTTTTTGCCAGTCAGCCTGCTCGCTTGTTGGTTTCAGCCAGTTCAAACCAGCCAGTCAACAGTGTTTTCCTCTCACAAAAAATCAGCACCAGCCAGCCCAAACCAGCACCAGCACCAACCAGCGAACAGGCCCAGTATGTATTAGGATTTATCCAGGTTTTGAAGGATTAGAAACAAAGAACCTCGTGTCCAGCGGCACTGCAGCTGCCAACAAAGTAATGATTGCATGTACGGTAATACTTCAGTCCGGATGGGACGAACCTGCTTCGCGCCGTGCGTACATGCACCTCGCGCCTCCCACGATAGCACCGGACCCGCCTCGTGCCCCTGCGCCTCCCCGCCTCACATCGTGCGCCTTGCACCTCGCGCCTCGCACGGTCGCACCAAACCCGCCTCGTGTCGTGTGCGCTCCGCCCATGCCTCGCGCCCTAGCTCGTGCCTCGCGCCGCGTCAACTAGCCTTCATTGGACGGCAGCAAGTAGATGAGCACATATTGCAACGTATGTTTCATGCATTTTAGATGTACGTTGCATATGTTTCATCTGGATGTTGCAAAAGTAGGTCTGGTGTTGTCAATGTTGCAATGGATATACAAGTATGTTGCAAGTGTATGTTTCAAATGTTTCAGCTGTTTCAAACGTAGGTTGCAAGTGTTTTATCTGAATATTGCATATGTTGCAGTGGCTATACATGTATATTGCAAGTGCATGTTCCAAATGTTTCACCCGTTTCAAACTTATGTCGCAAGTGTTTCATCTGGACATTGCATATGTTGCAATGCATAGTTCCAGACATATGTCACAAGCGTCTATTCAAAATGTTTTATCTGTTTTAGACGTATTTTGCAAATGGATTTATCTGGATGTTGTAGTTGCTATACACATATGTTGCAAACATATGTTTATAAATTTTCACTTGTTTCAGATGTATGTTGCAGAAGTGTTTTCATGTTGCAACATTAGCACGTGTAGGAAGCGGGCGCATGTAGATGCGGTCCCCACCTTCATACGCATCAGCAAGAACGAGGCGAGCATCAGCAAGCACGAGGCGCAACAACTGTATGCGTAGGCGCACTAGCATGCAGGGGCGGGTGTGCAGACGCAACAGTTGCATGTGGGACGTGCAGGCGTAGAGTTGCATGTGGGGCAGGCGGGGCATGTTTTTTTGGAAAAGACAGACAGGCTTAGCATCATGCGTGGCAGATGGGACGGACGCGGGCGTCCAGATGGGGCTAGCGTACGGAGGTAGACTAGGTCGTCCGGGTAAAAAAAAAGGAAAAGTCTGCTGGGCTGCATGCCTATCAAGGAAGGCTCTGGCCATTCATTTCGTGATGGGCCGAGCATCCAATCCGCGGCCAGACGAAACAGAATGCAAGCCCAAGACAGGCCCGGGGAACGAGAGAGAGAAAAAGCAAAGGCTGTGTGGGGCCCGCGTACCAGTGTGTGTCGAAACTTGTGGACAGGGGAAGAGCCGAGAGTCATGGTCGCCGGCTCTTCCCCACCACACCACCCGTCCCGTCACTACTGTTCCTCCTCTGTCCTCTCCTGCCCTCACGTCTCGCACCAGCTGAAGCGCCAGGCGCCAGCAGCAGCGGACCACCACGCCGCCAACCCTAGGGTCTACGAGAAAGGAGGAGGAGGGAGCAGCGCAGCGGCAGGCTGATGGTGTCAATGAGCACGACGCCGCACCCGCTGGATCCGTCGGTCCCGGCCGTCGCCGGGGGCGGCAAGGAGGACGAGGAGGCGCGGCAGGCGCGGGAGTCGGCCGCCGCCGCCGCCGCGCCCACGGCCGTGCCCGTGCCCGTGCCCGTGCCGTCGGTTGGGAACGACGACGACGAGGGGCCCCGGAGGGTGCGCAAGCCCTACACCATCACCAAGTCGCGCGAGAGCTGGACCGACCCCGAGCACGACAAGTTCCTCGAGGCGCTGCAGCTGTGAGTCGTCCCGTTCCGCTCCTCTTCCCCGTCCTATTCCCGACCACCGCCTCCGGCGGCGCTTCCCTGTGCTCCGTCTCACTGGCGCTGCTGCCCCATCTGCTCTTCCTTCCTCTCGATCGCTGGAGTCTGGTTGGGTCGGTTAATCTGTGAATTGTACTCACGTTTGCGTCTTCCCGTGCTTTAGTGGTCAGTCGTTGCTCATTGGTAGATCTAAGGGCCTGTTTGGATACAAGAGATAATTGCTAGATAGCTAAAAATTAGCCAAAATTTGCTTTAGCTCAATCAAATAGGTGGGCTAATTTTTTTAGCCAAATCTTCAACTAGTTGTTAGCCAACTAGCTAGCTGATTTTTAACCCAACTAGTAACTAGCCCTAGCTCATCCAAACAGGCCCTAACTATCGTTATGCTACATCAGAGGTTCATCACGATTGAATCCTGCAGTGTGGTGGTTAATAAGTGAGTGCCTGTGTTCGCCCATAGCTGCTGCTAAATTTGTATAAATATTGTTGGAATCCAAACTTATTAGAACTTGGTCCTTGCGCGCCATTCCACTGTTACTTGATCCATGTACAGGTTTTGGCGAATGTAGTTCTGTACCACCTGTAGGGGTAGTTGGGGTCCTTACAGGGTCTTTCTTTCTCGTTTGATACTTGTTGCGTTGATGTAGTAGTTGAGTTCCCAAGTGTAAGTTATATGGTATATCTGTTGGCCTAGTACACCCTAGAGTCTCTTCTCTTGGGGGCAATCACTCTTTATCCCACTGTGGCACATGACTGGCAGACATCCTAAATTGTTCGTTATCGTCCCATAGTTATATTCTGCCTAGTTGCCTTTAGGATTTCACCCTACTAAGTTGTTCTGAATGGCAATGTCTTACCCTAAGGATAGCTGTTGGCTGCGTTCGGCTGAAAACACTGTTCACGCTCTCACAAATTCCTCCAGATTCATCTAGATTCCTCCAAATTCCTCCCAGCGAACAGGGCCGTTAGGATTTTAGTCACATGTATCTAATCCATTATTATGGATCCTGGTCGCATAGATGACTTGTCACCTAAACAGATTCTTTAGCAGTTTATGGACATTTCATACTTGTAGAATGCCTCGTGTCACACATCTGCAGCAGCTTTCTTACATATTATGCTATAAATCCTTCTTTCTTTTCGTGTAACAGCTTTGACCGTGACTGGAAAAAGATCGAAGCATATGTTGGCTCCAAGACAGTAATACAGGTATAGTTAAATCTGACCTTGGATCCTCAAATCTGTGCCATTGTCTCCCTTAGTAGTTGACTGGCTTTGTCACACAAGATTTTAGGCTAGTTACGGTTTTTAGTCACACTGTTTTAGGTGAGGATATTTACATTTTTTTAAGTACCAATTACCAACATAGGATAAGGGATCATGCAGGCAACATTAAACCTCATGCTTGCTCTATACCATCCCACCATGCTATTTTTATGTTACTGCAAATACTGTATACTACTGGGTTTGAGTTTGAACTGGTCGCCACTGAATACCTGTGTTATTGGGGAAATTGATCATTTTGATACTAATATTTTCCCCAACCACTGTCAACTTGCTAGGCCAAGACGTAAATTGGTTGCTGATTTTTTTGTTATGCTGTCTGACGAACTGTGCATGATCTAAACAACAGTTTTTTTAACAGATCAGGAGTCATGCACAAAAGTACTTTTTGAAGGTTCAAAAGAATGGAAAAGGTGAGCATTTGCCCCCACCTAGGCCAAAACGAAAGGCTGCCCATCCATATCCACACAAAGCCTCAAAAAAGGGTAAGCATTTTTCCTTATCTTGCATCTGGTTGCCATGAAATTATAGTTATATATCTAATTAGAAACATCGGGGATCATGCAGCCCTTCAAGTTGTCTTACCACAACAAGCTTCACATATAATGGAGCAAGGCTGTGGTACACCTATGGATACTGCTACTGTTGCTACGGACTCAAGTGCAAATGATGCTTTTCCTGTTCAACATTTCAGTCCGAGGCATACACAAGGTTTGTACTGTTCCTTTGTTGTGAACTCTATTTCGGATCAATTTGTTTATAGGAGATACTTATCACAGATGCTACATGTTCAGGTGCAACATATAATAACTCTAGTAGCATAGGTAGCCAATCTGGAACTTGGCCAACTTCTGAAGGCACAGAACAAGAAATCAGGCATCCAGCACTGAGTGGTGAGCTTCTCTTTCAACTCTGTGTCAGTTAAATGTCTTGTGGATCCTTACTTCCTAAGTATCTTGGACACACTGCACACTATCAGTGCAGATTGTTTTCCAATTGTTTCCCCCTGATTAGGTGGTTTAGTATAATTTGTTTTTGATACCCTATGAGAAACAAGCCTGGTTCTTTTTTCTTGTGTTAAATGGAATGTACTTAAGCTTGTTACTCCTTTTGCTGGTATACTTTCAAGGTCTATAATCTAAAGTTGATCCTATGTATCATTGATTCAGATGTGAACACATGTGCTTAATTTAAGGACTTATTGCTCTATGCACTGTTTTTTACCATTAAGTTACTTTAGCCTTCCTTTAAACTCTTTGCGCTCATTGCAACCTTGCTGCTATCTTAATCTCCTCCAACCATGAAAGTTAAAAGAGTTTAACATTGTTTTTTTGTCGTTCTGCCTATATTAACATGGTAGATTTGTAGCTTCATCTACTTCAGTCCTCACTCTTACCTAAATGGTTGATGATAACTGTTGGCATCTTGGCATGTACACATTATTAGGATAGTTATTGGCATATTAGCCACTTGTAAGTCAGAACCTTTGGGTCTTCTTAGGAAAGTTATGTTACGCCAAAATAACTTTCTTTACGCAGTCTCCGTCTTGACGGCTCTGCTTTCTTTAACGAAAAATTATTATGTTAGATCCATCTTCTGTCTGCATATCATAACCATAATGGGTCCTTCAAATTTTAGATGTGACCTTAATGCTTTGATGTTTGATTGGTAAGGGTCTACAGGCTCTTATGACCTTATTACATCACAGTGCAAATGGGATCCTTACCTGGATACTGTTGTATTTCCGTTTGGAGGTGGCATTGATATTATCAACTGTAGTTGTGTCATTTGTGCCCCTTAATTCTGACACATACTGACTTCTTTCTCCCCTCCCGATTCTGGTGAAACTTGCAGCCATGCCAAACTTTGCTCGTGTATACAACTTCCTGGGAAGCATATTTGATCCAGAGACAAATGGTCATTTGCAACAGTTGAAGGAAATGGATCCTATTGATGCTGAAACGGTATTTCCTTCACTCAGTTTCCATTTAAAATCGACCCAGATGTCCTTTTGTTACTCTTGTCTGCAGGCATGAAGCTCATACTTTAATAGCTTTTTTCTGTATAGATCCATCTTTTTACATGGACAGCATAGTTAATCTTGTTTTACGTATTGAATGAAGACCTGGCTACGATTCTAGTGCAAAAATATCTATAAGCTCCTCTTAAAACCATCATTCTGGCAGTTTCTTTTTCTTTTTCTTTTTTGAAAAATGAGCTGTGCAGTACATATGTTATATCTATTACATATGCAGTCTAGTGCAATGTTAATACATTTCAGCTTAATTATTGTAATTTATGCGTACTAGTATACAATTTATGACTGAAATAAAAATCATTGGCAAATGGATATCAGTTCTACCACAAAGAAAGGATATCTGTCTGATCTTTTGGACATCACTGGCACTTTTCATGCTTCCGTCTCTTGTATATACCTGCTGAGACCAAAGTTTTTACCTCTTTCTCATTACCCTTCATAGTAAAGTAAGGCATGCAGTTTATAGGCTTGCTATTTTTATTAACTAACTTATTGGGTTTGTGTAGACTTGTCCCAAACATGTTATCTTGGACAGGTTCTCTCATTGTGCATTACACTTTTACTTAGTAAATCAGTTTCTTCTATTGACACATACATTCAGCATTTGTTGATCTTGTCCGTTCACCTAAGGATATAACTTGCTGTGTTTGATGGTCTTTATCTCCAGGTACTGTTGCTAATGAAAAACCTGTCAATCAACCTAACTAGCCCAAACTTTGAGGAACATGTAAGTACCTGTTCTTTTTCACCTCATTTTTCCTTTTAAACTGACTTTCAGAATGCTTATTGTTGTATACCCAACAAGTTTTGAATGTATAGTATCTGGTACTAGTGTATAATTCATTTCTAATCCCAGTATCTGATTAGTACTCCCTGCCCATAATTCTAATCGATCCAGTTAACCTGGTGGAATGCCTCGTAGCTTGAAAGCATAATAACTTAACCCATTACTGATGAATTGCATATATTAACAGTCCTGTAGACTATTTCCCTGAAATGCATTGTGTTCCTTGGATTCTGACCTACTGGCCGCCCCTTTCTGCTGCAGAGGAGGTTGCTATCTTCACATGCCTCAAGCATGGATCAAGAAATGGGCTCTTCTCACATCCATCTTCCATTCATGTAATTCTAACTGTTCCTGTTCTCAATTCCAACTCCGCTCCACATGATCTGCTTAATTGTTTCACTAAAACTATGTATCGCCACCACGATCTAGGATAACGAGCAAGTGAGAGAAGCTGGCTGCCCTCAAGCCGAAGGCGTTGGAGTCACTCTGGAGCATGGCGATGTCCTTATTGGAGTGCTTGCTAGCCATTTGTAGTGCGGCATGTGTACATAGCTCTTAGTAATGCCCTAACCACCTTAGGCTAGGTTTGCTCGACATGTTGTAGGTTATGCGCCTCTTGATTCTTTGCCCCTCCAGTTTTGGCCCATTGTAACTTATATGCGTGCTTTTTGCCTCTTCCTTTTATTTCCCTTCACAAGGATGAATGGGTGGCATGTGGTTTTTGCCGTGTGTGTATATAGCATGCGGCTGTATGTGTACAGCAGGCGGCTATAGCAAACTGTTGTTGTAAGGCATAAGCTGATAGTGCGTGGTTCTATTCTACAGCTGGTCGTGCCAGATGATACTCCTCCGAATTACAATTACTGTCGTTTTGTATTGTATGATGAGGGCACATGTAACATAAATAAAATTTAGTTGCCCTTGCCGATCGACTCCCTGGTTGGTGGTTGCAGTAACTCTTATGGATCTGGCGTTGTCCTTGTGGTCCTTGTGTATTTGAACTCGATCTGACACGGACGCGCCAATGTGAGATTTACTTTGGGCTGTACGTACTAATGACACTTGGTGCCTAATTAATCTATCATTAGTACATGTTTATTGTAACATCATAACTAATTAGGTTTAATATATTCGTATCGTAAATTAGTCTTCATCTGTATAATTAGTTTTGTAATTAGTCTATGTTTAATACTCTAAATTAGTGTCATTGCCATCGTACTGTGCTTCTTTATTGCTGTTATTATTAATACTATTATATGGAGTAGTATGATATAGTACATCTGGTATACGTACTTGTGACTAATTGGCTGCATCATCAATCAATAATACTGAATGCTCTGTCGCGTGCATGCGTGATGCGATTGCTTTTGCGTGGAACTTGGAAGCAAGTACGTATACGTGAGGGAGAAAGAATATGGCGGTTGCTTGGCTTGCAATTGAAGTAACTGTATGTAAGTAGTGCCGGCAAGATCATCGATCATCGTCTTCCTATAGCCCTCGTTTAACCTCAATCCACATGTATTGGATCGATTGGGGTGGATTTTAGTTTATGTTCCATTCCAATTCACTCAATACATGTGGATTTATGCGAATCCGATTATATCATAGTGTATGCAATGCAATCATCAATACTCTCTTCTGAAATGTGGATTTTCCTAGAAGAAGAGGTAACTGCCGCCCCGTGTGGCACCGCACAGCTCTCGGTCGATATCTCGCATGTGTACGTGCGTGTCTGAGACTGAGTGACACAATGTCCGCATGCAAGCGTGTTGGATGAACATTGAACAACCCGCTAGCTAGCTTGGCCAGGCAGAGGCAGCCAGAAGCGTGACGCTAAGCCTAACCATCCATGGAGTGCAAGCGACAGGTGAGATCGATTGCATTGCACTTGCACATATGGGAAGTGTCAATAATGCAAGTTTGCAGCACAGCAATGTACAGTGCGGATTGGATTGGAACAGTAAGTAGGCACCACCGGCCCAGCACACTGTAGTGTAGTGGATATGTATGTTTAACAAGCTCCATGTAGTGGATTGGAACAGCCAGCAGGCATGTTCGTTTGTCTTATAATCTGTACTTTTCAGCTTGTTTTTTGGCCGGAACAGTATTTTTCTCTCACAATAAATTAACCAACGGTACTTTCAACCATGATTTATCAGCCAAGCAAACGAGGTAGCTTCTACACCGTTGCATGTATATATACTTAGGCCCTGTTTGGTTGGGCTTTTGGCTTTGGCTTTTGGCCCCAAAAGCCAAAAGCCCAACCAAAGGGGTTGCTTTTGGAGGGTGCTTTTTCAGAAGCAGCTGTTTTTCCGTAGTTCATTTTTAAAAGCTGGTTTGACCCTGCTTTTAGCTTTTGGCTTTCTGCTTTTCGAAATTGGTGGAATAAAAAGCTCTTCCATAGTTGTTTCAAGAGAGATAAAGATAAAAGGTATATTTTATACTTGTTTAACCAAACAACTTTCAGTTTTTCTACAGCTCACAGCCCACAACAGCTTTTCCACAGCTCACAGCCCACAGCAGCTTTCTCCCACAGCCACAGCTCAACTAAACAGAGCCTTAGCTAGAGCTCTACAGTTCCAAGCAGCTACGACGATGTATGTCAATCCGATCCAACAGTAACCGTGACACAGGCATCTTAGCACTGTTAACTGAGTTCCTTTTGTTTGATCTGAATGTATATAAGCCGTTTTAGTTTTTTTTAATACATATATATAGGTTTTTTGTTATTATTTTTTCGAGAATGTATACTGCACGTATTTCATTAAAGAGGAAGTTTAGAGTACACACGTAGGTACCTCTCCACCCAAAAAAAATCATTGTTTTAAAAGTGAACCTAGCTAGACAAGCACTCGTGTAGATCTAGCGGTTTGGAAATTTCTATCATATATATGGACTTGTTGTAGGTACCTCTCCGTCCTCCTTCCAGAACCACGTGCCTCCCATCGTCACGAAAAGATGCACCACCCCCAGTCCCTTACTCTCAACGTCTTGTCGTTTGATTCCAATTTGTCTCACCATTCATTAGTCAACAGATTGATGATAGAGTAAAGGGAGTGGCCAGCGCAGCATGCATGGAGGATTTAGAGGGTGTTGTGCGTGTGCATACACGCAATGCATCGATCTCTTGGTACTATGTCTATGTTTGGATCAAAGAGCTAAAAATTAACCCATATTACGAAAATAGATTAAACATGAGCTAGAATATAGACTAATGGACTCTAACCACCAATTAACTATTATTAACTCAGAATTAACCCATATTTAGTCTATCTAATTGGTATCCAAGAATATGGGCTAATTGTTAGCCCATGTATCTAAACATGCTCTTCCAAACATGCCCTTATATATGCTTAGCTTGCAACATGGGTTTCCTAATGTCCATTATAGATTGTTAACGAAACCAAGGAAAGCTAATAAAGCTAAGGGTCCATTTGGTAGGGCTTCTATGTGAAGAAGCCCTGCCAAACGTTTTGTAAAAGAAGTCGTTTTTCATCGGTGAAAAACAGAGGAGCCAAGCCGTCCTCCGGCCTGCCGAACACCCCTAATTAAGACGGCCACGGTATAAATTAAACAAATAATAAATATATACATCCATCCCCTTGGACGGCCTTGGTACACGTACAATATGATACAAGTAGTAGTAGTTAGTAATTAGTAGAGCTACTGTTGTATCGTTGCCGAAAAGGTTAGTTGCCCTCCAACTCGAACTAGCTAGGTTTCTATTTTTTGTTTAAGGGCTTGGTTCCATTTCATACTTGCCGGTGTGGAGGTAGGCAGCGGATCCGATTTGGCCGGCGGCCGGGGGCAGGACGGAGGGAGGCGGCCGGATTTCAGGACGACCGGCGCCGTGGAAGTGACGCGCGGGTAGGAGTGGAAGCAGCAGATTTCCTTTCCATTCCATGCGTGTGAGAGATAGGAGGAAAGAGGAAAGAGGAAAGGGCACAAACCGTTTAGAGAGTCACATCACAGAGAATGAATGGTGGATGATGGACGGTGGCCCTGCTATAACTACACACGTACGTCACCGCTCGCATTCCACGCCCTGCTGCTATAACTACTACCTTAGTACCTAGCAGTGAAGCAGAGTAGTCGTAGGTCAGGTTAAACTGGAAGCCAAGCCAAGAAAGTCTTCACATTCTTTCTTCTCTTGAGCAAGGAAAGGAAGAAGCTAAGCGAGCGAGCAGGTACTAGTCGTTGATCCATATATCATATCAGCTGGCCGGCATCACATCAATTCCTCCTCCGACTCCACATCTGTTCTTCAGCGGAGACAGGAGGGAGATAGCTAGGCGGAATATATACTAGTCAAGTCATATAAAATGCTGCGGCGACGGCAAGCCGAACAAGGCCAAGGTAGAACAAAATTGCTGGAGGAGGTGCTCATCGTGGCCGGCCTCCTGCTGGTGCAGTGCGTGCTCTCCGGCTACGTCGTCTTCACCGACCACCTGCTCGCCCTGGGCGCCGACCCGCTGGCCGTCATCGTCGTCGGCGGAGCCGCCTACGCCGCCTTCTGCCTCCCCTTCGCCGTCGCCCTCGAGAGGTCTTTACTCCATATATATATGTTCTTCTTCTTGTTGTTGCTGCTGCTGCTGCTCTGCTCTGTTGGGTCGTCCTTCTTCCATTGACGTCTCGCCACGCAGACGCAGCATGAATTATGAATACGATGATATTGTTGCTTATAATATAATTAACTACTACTCCACTCCGTATTACAGGAAGCGATGGCCTTGCAAGGTTTCGGGGACTTTGGTGGCGCAATACCTGCTCATTGCTCTCGGAGGGTAAGTAAGATCCATGAACCGTCCATACCGATCGATATGATGCCAGAGCCTGTTCATTGCTCTTGACCTTTTCTTCATTTTATTTATTATTACTGTTACCGCTCCGAATCGATCATTTTTAAATATATTATTATCTCGTGGATTCAGAAGTAGTAAGTTCATGAAAATCAGGCAGGGCAGTTGATAGCCTTCAGTGTAACAGGCTTAATTAGGTAGCTCATGCATCCCGCACGTACCAAGGATGAAGGAATGGAATGCTCCTGCTACGTACGCCATCTGCACCTACTCTGCTCTCTACTCTTACCTGTAGTACGAAGTAGTAGTAGTAGTTGAGTGCCGATGGCAACTTTTACCTGAAATGAAAGCCTCAAAATGGCAACCGGACAAGATAAATTCTGCGCAACATGTGCACCCATACGCAATTCAGTCACTCATGGTTCGTCCATCCATACCGATGCCATTCACGGACTTGAACTTTTGTTACTCTTGATTTCCATTATTACTCCTGCGAATTGATCATACGCCTGAGTATATATAAATCTCATGGATTAAGTAAGTTTATGAAATCAGGCATTCAGCTGAACAGGCTTTAGCTAGACTACTCGTCAGTCCGATCCGTCTGTCGCCATCTCCTTGTACTCCTACTCTGCCCTCTTTTAGCTGCAGTACGAACTAGTGGTCGAGTGACGAATGACGATGCCAACTTTTACCTGAAATGAAAGCCTTAAAATGGCAACCGGACAAGATAAATTCTGGCGCAACATGTGCACGCATACGCAATTCCAGTCAGTCAGCATTCATCACGAATATACATACTACTAGCAAGCAAGCACTATTATTGTGATCAGAAAGGGATCGATCTAGAACGTCGTTTCTTGTTGATTTGTTAATTAATTGCATTGCTACAACAAGTCCATCTCATCATATATAGTGTGGGTAGGTGTTTTTGTTGTTTTGTTTGATTGTTTACCTATACTGGGAGGAAGTTAAAGGATCTTCAGTTCAGAGCCAAAATTTCATGAAATATACACTTATCGACTGACTGACTGACCAACGGATTGATTGGTTGATTGATTGTGTGTATTCATTCAATTCACCATCAGGACAACCGCGTTCCAAGAGCTGATGCTGCTGGGGATCAAGAAGACGACGCCGGCGATTGCTTCCGCCATGCCCAACCTCAGCCCCGGCCTCATCTTCATCGTCGCAGCTTGTTTCAGGTAAGCAGTTGTACATCTTCATTACATCATTCAGAGCAGCTGGATTGTCTCATCAGTCAGCTAGCCTCATTACATTATTATTCAGACAAACTAAATTGTCTCAGTAAGCTAGCATTTGGAATCATTTTTTAAAAAAGAATCAACTGGATTGTTCCTGCTACTCCTTTTGACAATACAAAACCAAACAAAAAACAAGGCTGGAGAGGTTCGACAGGGCGTGCAAGTACACGCAGGCGAAGATAGCGGGGACGGTGGTGTGCCTGGCGGGAGCGGTGGCCATGAGCTTCCTGCAGAGCCCCTCGTCCTCGTCCTCCTCCTCCTCCTCCTCGTCTTCTCTGGCAGCAGCAGCAGGCAGTGACGACGACTACTACGACTGGATCCTGGGCTGCTCCTGCCTGATCGCGGGTGTCACCGTCTTCGCGCTCGTCACCGTCCTGCAGGCCGCGACGCTGGCCAGTCTCCCGGCGCCGCTGACCATGTGTTGCGTCACCTCCGCGATGGGCGCCGCGCTCACCGCCGTAGTGCGGCTCGTCCTGGAGGGGAAGTTCCTCGATATGGGGTCGCCTAACATCGACGCCACGCTCGTCGCCGGGATCGTCGTCCTCGGCGGCGGGGTGGTGGGTGCGTGCACGGCGTTCCAGGCGTGGTGCCTCGGCAGGAAGGGCCCCCTGTTCGTCTCCGTCTTCGGGCCCGTCCAGACCGTCTGCACCGCCATCCTCTCTGCTGCTCTCCTCCAACAAGTCCTCGGCCTCGGAAGGTACTTCTACTGCTGCCACGTTATGACTCATCAACTTTTCTGTTAATAGGCACATGTAATTTTATTTTTCGTACTACTTATTTGGTATATAGTAAACATTATTAGTATTTTTATAAATGTAAAATTAGGAGGTTTAGTATTCCTTTATAACCATGAGTAAAAAGTAAGTTAGATTTTGGAATGGTTTAGCTTATGTTTGTCATAGAATTGAACTTTGGTTATTTGGGACGGACAAAGTTTAATCCTAAGATTTCAAGAAATTAAATAAAGAAAAAGCGAAACATGAACTAACAAGGGAAATGGAAAAAAAAAAATGGTGTGCACAGCCTCGCAGGGATCGTGCTGATGTTCAGCGGGCTCTACATTGTCCTATGGGCCAAGAGCAACGAGATTTCGGCTGACGAGGATCAGTTGCAAGGTGGCGGCGCTCACGACGCCGAGAAGGCCCTGCTAGCCTAGCAAAATCCTATTTTTTTTCTCCAGATGTACTGGTAGTAGTGAATATCACGCTCTATATTATTTGTAAAAGGGCATGGTTTTAAATTTTTTACCCAAAGGTATGACATACTAAATGTGTCTACGTACCAATTTCTATGTGTATATATACATATATACTCGAAAGAAAAATTAAAAAAAGCCATGGCTAAATTTGTTCATAATTTATACCGGAAACTACTTTGATATAACATTATATTGTTCTAATTGTCTAATGTGTGTGAAAATGACATTGGTTGATATAAAGAGTAAAAAGAATGTGAGGTAGTGGTGGACCAAGAAAATTTCAATTGTTTAGTTTCTTAGTCAGTTACAACAGCGTGCGTTCCACCGTCTAGCGGTGTCTTGTGTTCGTGTTCAACCCCATCACTCATGACATCTCGCCGTGTTGTGATGACGGACATGTAAACCTTCTAACTTCCTCTTAATAAAACATGTGCTATGCACGTTCTCGAAAAAGAAAGTTTCAATAGCCTGGGCGAGGTATGGAGCCGAGTTCTGAGCATTCATGCAACGCTATGCCACTCCATTCCGCTGCATTCATGTTCAGCAGCCAGACAAGGACTAGGCCTTAGTGGTAGTGGGCTTCGCAGGGGATGGACTCGGGCAAGGGCTTAGGCCTTGTTTGGCCACTAAATTTTACGTCACTTAAGTACTTGAGGCTTCAAACATGAGGTTTAAACTGTTATATAAAGTTTAGATCATCTCACAAAACTTTAGGTCACATGAGTGAGCTAAAGTGACCTAAAGTTTTAGTCCTTAACTTTATCTAACTAAACTTTAGACCTAATAATCCAAACAAGTTCTTAGAGCCGTCAGGTCCTCGGTCTGGCCATAATGTGATGGCTATATGTTCCAATACGGAAACCATATCCATATCATATACGGTAAAGGCGTGATTAGAATGTGATTGGTTGCTTATATTTCTTTGGCTAGGCTTTTCATATCCAGAATCCTTTTATGCTTTCTCTGCTTAGGGGGGTTGCACATGTCAATGTAAAAGCAAGTCTGCACACGTCAATGCAAAAGCAATATCGGCAGTATCTTAGGGCTTCACCAATGCAGATATATTGTTTGTTACCCTCAGGCAAAAACCGCAAAAGTAGAAGTCCGTGTAGAAGAAAAACATGAGGCTGGTACTTTTCCCAATGTTAGTTACTGGTATATGTCCTCTTTGCTCTGCCCCTGCTTTCCTGGCGCGCCGGATTGGATCGTTGGGTGCCCGTGCTCCTAGAAAACTCAAATCGAGGTCACTCCCTTTGAGGGCAGATGTAATCCTATTGGTTTAGGCTGGTTTGACTTATAAGCCATAACTGAAAGTATTATTGGCTGATTTGATGTGAAAGAAAAATATTGTTCGTTGGCTGATAAGCTATGGCTTATAAGTCAGATACGAGCAAGCGAATAAGCTGGTAGATGTTGAGACCACTGGTCACATTGTCGCGGTGGGGCTAGCTTTAGGCTAGCTGGTACAAAATGGGAATGAAAAAACATTTCTCGCAACTTGGGCTCTAAAGGCGTAGCACACGAGATAATCATACTTTAGCTAAAGTATTCTATCGCGTTTTCCACAAATAGCAACCAAACAATGACTTTGTTCGCTTATTTTATAATCCATACTTTTCAACTTGTTTTTTCAACCGAAACAGTATTTTCTCTCCCAACATATCAGCCGGAACAGTGTTTCGATTTGTTTTTTCAGCGAAACGAACCGACCAATATCTCATATGCACCAAATTTAAAGCACCGTACTCAACTAAGCAAAAGCGAGTTACAGCTTTTTGTTTAAGAAAAAAATATTGACCATATACAACCACGAGTTACAACTTGTTGTTTAGGATAAGATTGACCATTGTTCACTTTATACAACCACGAGTTACAGATTGTTGTTTAGGATAAGATTGACCATTATTCACTTTATTATACAACCACGATATGCTAGTGCGACTACTATTTAATGACGCCGCAAGACATAATAGTTTGGAGGCGTACATGTTTCATCGTCTAAAAATATAAACTACGCTGTCAAATTTTTTTGCTCATGCTTACATGCTTATGTCATCTATGTATACTTACTAGTGTAGGGCCGCGCGCCATCGCGCGCACAGGTTCAAATTTGAGGAATTAGAACTGTAACTTGGACATTGAAAAGCATTGGATAATGCGAAATAATATAGGAGTTGACTGAAGCATAATTATACATGGAGTTATTCCTGCAGCACTTCCACGTGTTTTCAAGTCTACAAACAAACAAGGACTTGGTTTGCTAGATGGCGGAGTAGAGCACCAATACAAAGGCATCACAGGTTGTTCAGCACTTATATTATACAAAGTCAATAGCAGGCTAACTGGAGCCTTTTAGTGGGGCTTGTGGCTCCTATATAAAACATTGTGGAGTGGTTGGCAGATCACTTGAACGTAGATATAGGAATCATCAGTAGTATTTCCAGCTGCGATCAGACTCCCAGCCATGTTCTTCAGTGTCCGAGTTGTTCAGCGAGGAATCGGTAGAAATATCTGCATAGATGTAAACATGTTTTATGGTTCTAGGCTTAATGATGCTGCGTCTGTGGGGATATAAGGAAGCAGGAAGAAGGAATTTATGTATGTTGCAAGAACTGTGTATGTACGAACTATTGGAGTATGCAGGTTGCAGAAGTTTTTTTTTATATTGTTCAGTGGAGGAGGAAGGATATATAAAAGATGGGGTAGTGTGAATGTTAATCATCCTCTGGGTTTTTCTCTTTTTATTTTAAACAGTATGATGAGCATTGAGATGGATTGTATAGATGTCATACCTCGTCGATGGGAGGTTGCCTCGTCGTCCTGACACGTGGAGTGAAATAATTATGTTATTATGCACTATATAGATTATTGTATTTGTGTTGGGTTAATATTGATTGGCATTACCTGCGTAAGTGGAATATTCCTTGTACATCTCTTCTTCGTCCGCGGTAGCAATATCTGAGGATCCTGTTAATTTTGGGAGGAAGACTGTTAGAAATGGAGTTGACCGTGTTTTTTAGTGGTGCTGTAGTTGCATGAGTGTTTACCTTGGCGCTGAGACATTCGATATTCAGGCGGGGTCATTCTGCCAAGCATTTCTCCTGTAGAGGTTTCATACCATAGTGGCGAAATGTTGAGGAGATCACCGTTTTCAGTTACTTTCCTGACACCTATATGTGCAATGCTAGGCACAAGCGGTTCTTGTCCCTAGGCGGAGATCATGTATGTGAGTGTTGCAGGTGTGAATGTTATGTCACAGATGGTGCAAATTCCGCTGAACAGACGGTGTATTGTTAGTTCACAGCATAGGTGTGGTGGTATCCCAGAGATTTCAATGCTTAGGCGTTCGTTGGGTGACAACACGCGTGGGCAGGTTGCTGTGTGGTGGTTGATGGGATCAGAGTTTAGTTGGCTGTGTAGAGGGACTGATGTGTAGCCATAATCTGGGGTCCATGGCATGAGTGTAAGTGTGTAGGTTGAAACAACAACAAAGCCTTTGCTAAGCATGCGGAAACTTGCATCGGTAGAGTGTACCCTTATAAAGTAGTGGGACCATACTTCGATATGTCTTCTACCTGGATTTCCACCTGGAATTGCTGGTGGACTGCATCTCTTAAGCTCTGGTGGCTGACTGCATCTGTAGGTGATAATGGGAGCTTTGCAATTACTGCATTGTCAAAGACATTGGGATCCCTGCTGTGGAGCTCTGATTAGTTGATTATTGTCAGGTTTGGATAACGGTAGCCTGACATTTTGCTGGGCTTGTAGACCTGTAAATGTCCTGTATTAAGTAAATTTATAGATAAATATAATTATGTTTACATATAGTTAGTAGTTAGTGTTGATAGTGATTTTATTTAAGGCAAGGACTGCAGTTTGTTAATTGATAAGAGGAAAAGAGGTGTAATTGAATGTCTGTAGCTTTTTTTTGTTTTACTTTTTAGATTGGGAAATAAATATGCAAATGGTTGGTGCGTCAAGGAGACATCACGTGTAGCTGGGATGTGTGCGGTATATAAGGCTAATATCATGACAGTGAGTTGTTCGCTCTTAGTAAGGAAGCAAAATTTGAAGGTTCAGGCCATTATATATGTATGGTAATCCACTATTCTTTAGCTACTAAGTTTTAGTGACTGTGAGTTGCAGTTCATAAATGTGTTTGCAAGAATAGTTTATTATTTACTTTTTCAGACTAATTAGGTTAATATTGGGTTTGAACACAATTTACCTATCTGTGTGATATTATATGTTATTTGAATTGGGATAAGTGATCACTGACAGTGAAATGACTCGAGTCAGGTTGAAGCTCTGAAGAATGAAGGTGTCTATATTTGTAAAGGATGTAAAGCCATGTATTAGCCTACATTCACCTAAACAATGAAAGTCAACAGAGAGATTGGAAAATACCTTTGTTTCCCGAATAAGCTAGCAGAAAGTAGGTGCGCCATCGCGAGCATAGGCAGGTTCCAAAAAGACCTCGAATCTGGAGAATATATAGATTATAAAAAATAAGAAGGTAGATATATAAATCTAAGATGTGCATATTACATATGTTGTTCACGGTTTCAAAGAGCCGAGGATGGTGCATAGGTTTATATTACATGCACTGTCACTGGAGTAGAGAAACCGGAAAAAAAAACAGAATAATGGATGCAAAGATATCCCCAAATCAAGTCTCTGTTCACAGAATGAACTACTCGAGAAACAACTGGGAATGAAGCTTTGTATTGAGCTGTTGAACTAAGACGAAATGAGCATTAAATGATCCTCCAAAGGCAAGAAAATCGAATGTGAGTGTACTCACCAGAGGCATCAGTGTTTGATATTTGTTGGTCCATGTAAACATGCTCGAGAAGTTCATGCGCTTTTGTGTAGTCGTTTTGTTTCAACCGGAGGAGTTCCTTGTGGTACTTCTGAGAGAGTGCAAATTCCTGTCAGTATCAAAAAGGAATCTTAGCGACACAATGATAGTGAGACACAGAAAGTCATTACAGATCCTTCAGATATCCCGCTGAACCATGAGACAGTCAAGGTTTGCACCGAAACAGTTTTTTTAACCATGTATCTCCTTCCGCAAAGAGAAAAGCAGCGCATAGAATGAACACCTAAAGTATTCAGGCTCTACATTCATTGCGGGCGTGTTTGAAATCAAAGTAATACATGAAAAAGCAATGGCATGAGGATACTGCATTTGTGTGCAGCGTCCTTTTTCAGATTCTCGCAGCACAGTTATCTTACTGTAATAAATATAACCTTCACCATGTACTAAAATGGCTTGGGATTGGGAAAATATACCAGCAAGATTAGAAAGAATAAGTAACTCATGCACCACCGGCAACGAGATGCAGCCCCAGTGCACCGCTGCGGTCAAGATGTAATACTTAAGGTAAGCTATGTAAACTTTTTCATGCACATTGCTGTGCCCAGCATGCATGGATATTTTGCATTGATGAATTAACAAATATTAGACCTATCTAACCTTGCAGAGTTAAATGTTCTACTATTGTGCATATGGAAAAACGATCAAGTTTCAATCCAAAATGACAATTATTAAAAAAAGGAACTTGCTAAATCTCTTTTAGCCTTTCCTAGCTGTACAACTATTTCATTGAAGGTGAAATATGCACCACACAACTTTATCTGAAATAACACTCATAATCTAATTAAGGAAGGTTAACAACGGTAACTGTATTAGACCAAAGACAATGGGATTACTGCAGGTTGCTTTTGAGGAAGACAAGGTCTTGAGATGACCGAAGGTTACATGCAATGGGGAGGAAAGCAAGCAGAATGGAGTCACCGATGCTGCTTAATAAAACCCGGGTTATCTTGGTCCAGTAGTGGTTACAAACGAGGAACCTGGAAATCACCAGATCACATCTGAAAGAGAAAGAAGGTTGCATTAATATATTTCAACTTGAAGGATAGATTACTTCAAAGATTTGACAAATAAGACAAAGACCTTCGCTAGACAATAGAAGCATAACAGTAATAAAAAACTAAAGATAATCCCCAATTAAAATTATTTGCCAGCTGGTAGCATGAAAAGTTATCCCTTCCATGAACTCCACAATATTAGCAAGGCAAAACTGATATGGAAACCAAGTTGGTTGGTCGAAGTTGCAGTACAAAATTTGGGACAAAATAAACATCCTCCTTATAATTTCCAACATTTGAGTGGTTTGTTACTTGGCTAAATCGGATTGAACAAACATCGAGGATGCTTTTTATCTCTACACCAGCGACAAGAAAGGACAAAGGGGCAGCAAAACCAAACCTCAGAGAAATTCATCGTAGCGGGCTGACCCTCGTTCCAATAGTCATCTCCATCAACAAATTGCCTGTTGGGATACCTGGAGAGCAACAAGATGACAAGAAACATTAGAGACAAAATAAGCTCTGATTGCAGTCACCCATGCGAGGTAGGGAACTTCGCATCATTGGTGTTCCTCCATCTAGGACACGCATATAACAACGAGGTAGGGCACGATGCTGCTATGGGAGAGGGGCGCATGGCAACGTCGTCAAAATAAGAATCTCATATATCAGTTTTTTGTTGCCAAAATCGATGGGCAGTTGGCAATCTGAGATATCACAACTTCATAGCTAAAAATCAAAGCATTAACGAACACAGCTGTGAAAAAGAAGACAGTCTATTGTCCCATACATATATTACGTCCGACCATCCTACAATGAACAAACAGGTATGGAAGAGAAATAAAGGCATGGTATATTCAAATAAGGCTGGAAATGGAATTGTTCAAAAGAAGGGCTACCTGCATTTGTCGTAATCACCATATTGGCACAATAAAAAAAACAGGGAACCTAAGTTGCAGGATGCACCCCTAAATTCCACTCCGTTAAACCTTTTTTTTTTGAGATTTTAGATATAAACCTGAAATTGTTTCTATGTTAAAAAAAAGAAACTCAGAGGCTGTCTAATAAGCTGCGCAAATCACAATTACCAGAGGCGATGAAGTTGGCTTTTATGAGCTGTAGAAGATAACCAGCAAGCAGCTTGAGGCCTTCACTGACAGCCATGGTGGTTTTTTCCTCCGACCCCAGGATTAGAAGATCAGATGACATCCTTGGAATCATTTATAAATAATATGTCAGTGATTACCATACGGGAAATATGGAACAGAAGCAATGATACACTAATAGGAAATAACAGATAGATATCGCACAGATAAATATTGCATGCATTTATATTGGTCTAGCATCTGTGTAGCTGGGATTGTCCAGGCTTAAAACTGAGGACCTATGATGCACATGAAGCCATTAGGCACTATGTTCAACTGCAAAATAGATAGGGACTTGGAAAAATAGGAAGCCGCATTCATGTTCATATACCTTTATTCTGCCTTTTTTTGTCATCAACATTAGAGCACTATTACTAATTTGAAGGTGAAATCCGCATCATTTGTAGAGTGCATAGAGAAGAGACAGCTTGCACATTTTTAGTGAATTGTTTGGTTGACTTAAGAAATTATGGATCAGAAAATCAAATAGATAAATTGATTGCAAATTTCTGAAGTGGTTGTAGCTTCCTGCAATACAACCCAAAGGAATTGAGCCGACGAAAAAAATCAAACCAACAAAGAAAAAAATGAGGTTTCATTTTCAGGTTACACCAACTCGATTTGGTACTCCCAGTCGTAAATATTTGTTCATATTTGTCCTTTGAGAAATTGAAACAGCCTGTGATGCAAACAAAATGTGATAGCTAAATTATTCTAGACTCCTTTGTAGGAGGAGCATCTGTGATGCTGAATATAGTACTGCAGCCATCTCAAAGCATTTACTGTTTCTTTTTTTTAGGATATATTAGTGTGTAAGAAAAATTACTCATGTAGCCCTACGTAAGTACGTAGTAGAGCTGGGCCACAATAATTAAGAAATAGGACACCCAATAAAAGAAATTCATGGAGGTATGCAGGATGTAGTCTCACTGGGATGTGGACACAGGAAACTTTTTCCAGCTCTCTCCTTGGCTTTTGGTTTGTAGAATCTGGTATGCAATTTATGTTGATGCAGCATCTTATAATGGGACAAATTAGCACTTGAGTGCGAATTGAATGTTGGATGGCAATGTAATAAAAGTTTCATGGTACCTGTAGTTTCTTGGCCTTCCTGAAATGTGTGACACAATGTTAGAAGTCGTAACTCCTGCATAGTATTAGATAGATTTGTCAGAGTACCACTTCTGTTTTCTTTCTTATCATTGGATTGGTAAGTGTTTAGTCAGCATTTGGACTACTTAACGCAGTGTTTTGGATGGTTTAATCAGAGAGCATATTTTCTCATTAGATAACATTTTGACTTTATTCAGTGATGTGAACTGCACTCTGTACTATGAAGCCACATCACAATATATTCTTCTATCCTTTGTAAATTTAACACATACATTGAACCATGGCAACATATAAACAGAGAAAGCCATATCGGTCCATATAGGAGCAGTAACAAGCAGTAATACATTACCAACTAAACAGAGTATTATTACCTTTTGGCAGCATGGTGAAAAATAGACCATCCTTGGTCTGCACACACCTTTCCTGCTGCAGCCATATGGCAAATAAAGGCAGTAATAATTCTGGCAAAGTAGTAAGGATTTAGGAATTCCACCTGCAGATGTGTGTACCTTGGTCCAGCTGCTTGGTCCACTGAATTTCCAACTCTGTCAACCCAGTCGCAGAAGCACTCACATTACAAACAAGCTCACCAAAGCATGCTGATGACTGTGCTAACCTATTACAAAGCACCCACACACCTGCAATTAGTTAGTCAATGCATAAGAATTGATAATTTTTAGCATACTGGTTGACAACGTAGGAATTCAGAAGAGGAGACTGAGCAGGACAAGCGACCTCAAGATGAAGAGCAGACTCCAGACCACGCTAGGGCCTCCACGTCAGGGGCCAACCTCGCTGGATCCGCCGGCGCTGCCGCGGACCGCGGCCCTCCGTGCCAGGGCCGCCCTAGCGGGGGTCGCGGAAGCATGCCTGGGCCTCCACGTCGGGGGGCCACCCTCGCTGGATCCGCCGGTGCTGCCGCGGACCGTGGCCCTCCGTGCTAGGGCCGCCCTCGCCAGGGCCGTCGGAGCTGCCGCGCCGGGGCCCTCCCGCGCCGCTGAGAGAGAGGGGGAGGGAGCAGGAGAGGCACGCCAGGGAGGAGGGGGGCCACGACCGCGCCCCGCTCGCACCGGCGAGCGTCGCCCTGGCCATACCGGGAGGAAGACGGAGAGCGAGCGTGGAGGGGAGAGAAGAGTCGAGAAGGAGAAGGGTCGGGAAGGAGAAGCAGCTTCAGCCTGATATATATTTGGTGGGAACATATATATATATTGCAAACTAACCTCTCCGTGCAAACCGTGTAAACCAACTGCGGGAGAGAGGTGGAAGGGGGATTTGCAAAAGTGTAATTACGTCCGCTCCTAATTACACTTTTGCAAATCCCCCCTCCCACCTCTCCCCCGCAGTTGGTTTGCACGATTTGCACGGAGAGGCTGGTTTACACTTGATACATTGCCATATTTGGTTCACCGGATTTTGGTAGAAGCCGGAGAAGCGTAACAAAGAAGAGGTGAAGCTAGCCGCTTCGGAAACAATCTGGGCCGTCGGTGGGGGAGATCGGACGTCTGTGAAAATTTCAGGCGACGTGGACGTGGCTTCCGGTCGAGAAGCTATTGGGTTTTGTGGGGTTAAAATATATGCATACTAGATAGCGTGTCCGTGCGTTGCTACGGAACAACTAAACTTTTGTACTAAAAACACACGGATCGCACGATAAGATAAAATACTGTAAGACATTAAACTGACATTTAATTCAAAAAGCAAAGTTTGTGAAATTCACAGTCACAAAGAGCACGGCACCGCAGGCTCACAAACTCTACTATATAGACATTTTCGTGGTACGGCTAAAATAATGTTTTATATCGGTAAGAAGTCTCCGATATTACAAACTAAATGAAGCAATCAAATATGTCAGACAAACATTGCTCATTTCACATATTTTAAACCTGTTTGACCAATGAAAATACATAAAATGACTATTATATTAAACTAAGGGCATGTTCGCTTGTCTGAATTCTGGAGGAATCTGGATGGTTTGGAGAAATGCTGGAGGGATTTGTGAGATAAAAATATTGTTCCGGATGAAAAAATAAGCGGATCAAGCCGGATTTAAAGGCACGCAAACAGGGCCTAAATTCATGTCTATCATCTATTCAAAGTGCATGTCAGAAGCGTGTAAATAATTTTAATATTATTTAGTTCTCTAAATCTATAAGACGCGACATAGTGTCCTTAGCAAATTCTTGAACTCGACAACATCTGGTTTTATCAACAAGCAGACGATTGCATAGGCCTATAAATTACTGTAGCAACACTGATTGGAGCAGAACCGTTTGGTGCTTGAAGATTGCCTGCATGTCAGAAACAACAGACATGAAAAGTGCTTTAGACCATTGGAGCAGATAGAAGGCTACAGGCCCACTACTGATCCTACTAAGTAAGATGAGAAAGAGGAGGTCAGACACGATGATGCTCCCCTCAACCTGTACTCCAATCAGCTCAATGACGTCTGGAAGCAGGTTGAAGCCGCGATGGAGCTAGAACCGTAGATCAAGAATCAAATCGATCTGAAAGAGCTTTGATAGGCTGTACCTATGCCACTGCCACCGGCAAGGGCACCCACAGGCTAGGACGGCCTTGTTGACAGCCTACCGGCTGCCCTCACTCGCGGCGCCCGGTATGCCTCTCGCTCGTACGGCCGCATGGCACGACGGAGCAGCCGAGGATGGACCCCTCTTCAGCCAGCGGCGGGGAGCGAGTGAGTGGAGGCAGGCTGATCTCCCTCTCCGCGAAGCTGCTTGGAGCAGGGGAAGAGGGACTCGAGCGATGGGAGCGGCGGCTGTCGCGGGCAACTATGGTAGCCGCAAGAAATGTTGTCTGGGGAAACGAAAATATGAGAAAAAGATTCAAAATGAACAGACCTAAGGATAATTTCAGCAAAAAACAGCAAGCGAGGACGATGGAACACGTGAGCGTAAAACAAAATGAAAGAAGAAAAAAAGCTATTCTTTTGCAAATACAAAGATGAGAAGTAATTAAATGTAAGCAGATTTGATAAGGTTCTTAGAAATGCAAAGATGTTCATTTTGTCTTAATTCTCTTTCCTTCTGTGTTAATTCTCTTTCATTTTGCTTGTTGCTATGTATGCTGGTACATGCAAACATGCAATGTGTATATGGATAGCACAATAATTTTCTACTTCCTATTTTACCGTGATTCCTCTATCACATAACATGCAATATTCAATCAAGGAGAATAACACGTTCAATCAGTTTGTTGTAGGAGATTATATGCTTATTATGTCAGCCATCCTCTTGTATAAGCCTATTAGATTAGACAAAATCAGTATTCGAGTCGAGCAGGGAAAAAAAAAGTATCCGACGCGGGACGAAGTGGAACTGTGGAAGGCCCGCGTGACGTCGGCGGCGCATCGCACCGCACGCGTCTCCTCCCTCTCCAATCTTCTCCTCCACTGTAGCGGAAGTCCACCAGAGCGAAACAAGGAGCGGCCCGCCAGATCCACCTTCTTCCCCCGTCCATCGAACCAAACCCTAGGGGCCAGGGCTAATTCCCCTCCTCACTCCCATGGCCTCGGATTTTGACGAGACCAACGAAGCCTTCTTCGACAAGCTAGTCAACCCCGACGACGACGACGATGCCCCGGCCGCCGCTGCGCTATCGCTGACCGACAAACCCGACGCGGCACCGCCTCGCGAGCCCGAGCGTGGCTCCTCGCTGGAGGTGGACCCGCTGCATCCGGAGACCCAGGCCCGGGCCCCCGAGACGGTCCCCGACCCAGCTGCGACTGCGACCGCCGGGGCAGATCCGTCTGGGGACCTCGTGCCGGAAGACGGAGAAGCCTTCTTCGGGGCTGCGGCTGTGCCCGGGGATCATCAGGGCCTGCAGGCGTCACCGTCGCCGTCACTTCCAGCAGGTGCCGGCGATGTCAGCGCACCGGATCGCACCGTCTCTGGCCAGACGGAGAGCAATGCCAGTTCCCAGTTGGATTCCACCACAGCTGCGGAGGGGTCTGGGGATCAGAGCGCCAATGCGCAGTTGGAATCCACCGATCCCAGGTATCTAGAGAGCCTCTACCCTGGGTGGAAGTACGACGACGCCACGCAGCAGTGGTATCAGGTAGATACACTCAGCGCACAGAGCTATTCTGCTCAGAATACTGGTGCTGCTGTGGCAGGCCATGGGAGTGATGTTGATCTTCAGCAGCAGCAGTTTGGTGCTTCGTACCTGCAAAACACTTCACATGCAGAGACGACACTACTGACTTCTCATCCTGAGGCTGAGGCTGAGGCTGACAACCAGCCTGCAGTGGCGCCACAGAAAGAGGAGGAGGCACAGCATGAACCCGTGCTGACGCATCCTGCGGCTCAGACAGAGGTGGGATATGGGGAGAGCAATGCCACTTCCCAGTTCGATTCCAGCACAACTGCTGAGGGATACGGGGATCAGAGCGCCGATGCACAGTTGGAATACACCGATCCCAGATATCTAGAGAGCCTCCACCCTGGCTGGAAGTACGACGAGGCCACACAACAATGGTATCAGGTGGACACTCTGAACACACATACTTATGCTGCTCATGATACTAGTGGTGCTGCGGCAGATCATGCGAGTGGTAGTGTTCAGCAGCAACAACAGCTTACTGGTTTGTACCTAGAAAACACTTCACATGCAGAGCCTGCGCTTGAACCTACAGAGCCGACTTCTAAGTCAAAACCTCAGCTTGAGCCTGCGGCTGCCCCTCCTGTGACTGAGGTTGATAATCAGCCTGCAGTGGCCCCACAGAAAGAGGAGCGGGCGGAGCATGAACCCATGCCGGTGCATACGAAGCCTGAAGCTGAGGAGATTCCTGCCGATGCTGGTGACACTGCTGCAGCGAAAGAGGGTGGGTCCCCAGGGTCAGAGAAAGGCATCCATACCGCCATCAAGCAGGTGCAGTGGAACGACTTTGGTGCCAGCACTGGTGGCGGTGGGGCGGATCTGTTTGGGGACCTCCTGCCCGACGGAGCCGAGGACGACTTCTTCGGGGGCACTGTCCCTGGCAACCAAGGCGTCCAGTCATCCTTGGTAGGTGCTAAAAATGTTAGCGCACCAGATCACAGCTTCTCTGCAGGAGTAGATAACAGTGCCATGATTAGTGCTGGACACAGCTTCTCTGGTGGAGTCGATAAAAATGCCAACTCTCATTTCGGTTCCAGTGGAAGTAGTGCAGGGTACGGGGATCAGAGCACTAATGCACAATTGGACTCCACTGATCCCAAATACCTGGAGAGCCTCTACCCGGGGTGGAAGTACAATGAGGCGACGCAGCAGTGGTATCAGGTAGGTACCCACAGTGCACAGAGTTATGTTGCTGATAATACTGGTGCTGCTGTAGCCCTTGGGAGTGACTATGCCCAGCAACATCAGCAGCAGTTTAGTGCATCGTACTTGCAAAACAATTTACATGCAGCACTTGAGACCATTGCGGAGGAGAGCAGCACCAATGCCACGAGCTGGGCCCAGGGTGGGACCAACACAGGATCCACAGAATACCCACCGAACTTGCTGTTCTATGCAGAATACCCAGGATGGTACTTTGACACCAACACTCAACAATGGCAAACACTTGAGTCATACCAGCAAAGTGTTGCACAGGTTGCAACTACTGCAGCAGCCTCAGATGTGTTAGCAGGGGCAGGCCATAGTGTAGCTAATTACACCGAGGATTCTTATGCAAGTAGCTATAACCAGCAGAGCCAGTGGCAACCAAATTTGTTGGGTAACACCATGCAGCCTGATGTTTCGGGGGGCAGGAGCTTGTTAGGTAGTTCCTATAGTTCCAATCAGCAGGCTGGGAATCAGATTGGGCAGCAAGCCAATGCTGAGTCTTTGCAATCGTCTATAAATTACGAGCCTAATCATATAGAGACATTTATGCCTTCTACAGGTCAATACACTGGTAGTGAGGGAAATCAGGCTAGCTATAAGGGGTTCAAACCTTTTACAGGGAACCAGAGTTGGTACAGGGGTTTGGAGCATTCTACAAGTAAGGAATTAAGGTACAAAGGGTTTGAACCTTCAACCGGTTTCCAGAATAGTCGCAAGGAATTCCAGCCTCCTAAAGATCACCAGGCTGGCCACATGGCAGATGAACCTTTGACAAGAGATGGTTATGTTAGTTCAAATGGGGTTGCCAATACACAAAATTTTGTACCAAAAGAAAGCATATACAAGACACAAATGCATGATGATTCCACTGCACATACTCATGCGGCAAGCAACTATTGGGGTAATCAGACCTCAATGGGCATTGCTCAGCAGCAACTGATTGGTACAAATGGTCCATCCCAACAGTTTGGTTTCTCACCACACGAGCAGAGATCATCAGCTGGACGCCCACCACACACTGTGGTATCTTTTGGATTTGGGGGAAACTTGTAGTTCTTAAAGAAACCAGCTCATAACACACAAACTTTGACAGCAGAAATCAGGTACCACAAAATTATTTCCTTGTAATATTCTTGCTGTAATGAGTTGTAACTAAAAGCTTTTTGTTGCTGCAATCCAAGGGCAATTCTGGTCGAACGGTATCAGTTCTTAATATTCCAGAGGTGGTTGCTGATAAAATTGACCACTCAAGCATCACTAACAGCGGTGCATTTAGCTACTTCCATGCTTTGTGTCGCCATCCTATTCCTGGCCCTCTTGTTGGTGGAAGTGCTGCATCAAAGGATGTGAATAAATGGCTTGATGATATGACTGGAGTATATGAATCCTCTCAGACGGAATTCCAGGGAGGGGATGTTCAGAAGGTGCTTATTTCGTTGTTGAAAATATTGTGTCAACACTATGGAAAGCTTCGTTCACCCTTTGGGTCTGACCCATCACAAGAGGTATTTTCTGCCTGTCAATGATCCTGTCCGTGGAATTAATATTTTGTTTGAACAACATTTTTCATTTGCTGCATTGCAAATCCTCCAATAAGTGAAATATATACCAGACATCACTGTCATTCAGTGTCAGTTCTTCTCTATGATCGCACATCAATGATACTCTGGTTTCTGATAACTTGTAAGGAGACATGTTAGGTATGGATCTGTTCAACATTAATTTGTTAAGGTGTCACTCCTAGATACTTGAAGATTTACTCGATGTCATCTATCTGAATGCCTTTTGCGTCTCTTTTTAGTCTAATCTTTAAACTGGGATTTGCATTCTTGCTTGAATGACAGTATCTTGATGCTTAAGCTGGCCGCGTAAGAAAAATACTTAAGGTGTTCTGTATCATGATTGTGTTTTATTTATCGACTGACCACCAAAGTATCAGTTTTTAATAGAAATTGATTGAGCTATGATAGTGAAACAACAGAAATATGTATGGAAGATGATTTGTAATCAGTCTGATATTGCCCATGTATGCATTTTTTTTTCTCTCGAAAATGCAGGAGAGCTGCGCATCATTATATTGTAAGAAAAGATATTATATATTCTGACATGAGAAATGAAAAGATATATTACTCTCTTTATTCTCTTAATTAAATCCAGCCTGATGAATCATGTGGTGGGAAGGGCTCTTTTTAACAAGATGCTTCACTCTATTGTGATTATTTTCTAATGGAATATAGATTTTGCTTGAACTATTTGCTAAAGGGTATAGATGGCCCAGAGATGGCAGTGACGAAACTTTTTTCATCTTGCAAGAGCAGTGCTAATATGAAAGGGTATGGAACTGTTGTCCATTGCATGAGAAATCTTCCCTCAGAAAGCCAGATTCAGGTAATTCTAATTTCTCTTTGTCTGTGGTGCATTATTTAGCAATGTATACCCTTGTTTAGACAAATACCCTATTGCAGACTACTGCGCAGGAGGTTCAAAATCTCCTGGTTTCTGGTAGAAGGAAACAGGCCCTTCAGCATGCACAGGAAGGTCAGCTTTGGGGCCCTGCACTGATCCTTGCTTTACAACTTGGTGATAAGGTCTGCTGCAGAGTTGAAATCTTCACACTCTAGTTAGTTGGATGGCGTGTACATTTCTCTTTCCTGAGTTATTTCTCATTGTCTTGCTACCTGACAATGCAGTTTTATGCGGATACTGTGAAGAAAATGGCTCACTACCATTTTGTTTCCGGATCACCCTTGAGGACATTGTGCCTTCTTATTGCTGGACAACCTGCAGACGTTTTCAATTTTGAGAATCCTGTTAACAGTGGTTCTTTGTATTCTCCCCACCAGCCTGTAGAGGTAATATTATATTATTATTATGCTCCCTCCCGTCCATATATGCTGTTTTGGGCATCAACATGGTTTCTAGCAGTCTACTTTGATCACTACTTTTTATATGACCTTTTTTCCTCAAAATTTTTTGTTACAAATCCATTGATACTATATTCATTGATCTATTGGATTAGTTCTTTCAAAATTACAGGTCAAAGTTAGAGAGGTTTGACCAATTATTTGCATATGGAGTTATTGTAATTGAAATAGTCTTAAATACAACAACAAATGCTGCAATGGAAAATAAATTTGTCATCCATGACTTTAGTGATTGTTTACTTTGAAGCAGGAGCATCTACATTCAACATTTTTTATGCCATGATACCTTACATTTCTGTATTATATTATAATCATGTGCTGTTATCTAAAATTATAGTCACATCTCGTATGTATCCTTAAATGATTTTTCGATTCACCGCTGCCCTTCTCTCGTCTTTTGTCATATTTTGAGAAATCTTGTTAGACATGCCCTTATTTTTTCATTGTAATATTCGGGTTTGGACAGGCTGCTCCTAAGGGTATGCTGGATGACTGGCAAGAGAATTTGGCTGTTATAACAGCAAACAGGACAAAAGGTGATGACCTTGTAATTACCCACCTTGGGGATTGCCTTTGGAAAGAGAAGAATGAGGTTCGAGTCTTGTTTGCTGTAATGAATACAGCTCCTTTTCAGTTTTAAGGTTGAGTCTAATGGACCATTGATTTTATGCAGGTTGCATCTGCTCACTCATGCTATTTAGTTGCTGAACTAAATATTGATTCGTACTCTGAAAGTGCAAGGATGTGCCTTATTGGTGCAGATCACTTGAGATGTCCGCGCACATTTACCAGTCCTGAAGCAATCCAGGTCTTTTTCAATATCAAATCTGCACCATTTGTTTCCTAGTTTACTCTGAAGATTATCTATCTGATTCTGGTAGTGCAACTGTTAGGTTCTGACTGAGGGTGCTATGGATAACATCATGCTTTGGTGCCAATTTTAATGGCATGGATCAAATAAACCCTTAGGGCTTGTTTGGCTGCACACCAATCCACCCCAATCCACATGGTTTGGGCAACCCATGTGGATTGGGTGGTTTGGTGTGCACCCAAACAAACCCTTAGGCAACCACACAAATGCGTGTAAAGGATATTTTCATGACATAATGCGATATGAGCATTTCTGTATGTGCTTCAAAGTTCAAATTCTCTATAGCTGTTGGGCAGATATATTTCCAGATCTGTCAAATAGGATTTATGATGTACTCCAATAACTTGTAGTGATTTTTTAACTTACTCTTTGGTTCTATTTTGGGACTCTGCCAAAGGGTGCCTAGCTCAATCGGTTAGGCTTCCCGGCGGCACTCCTCAGGTCCTGAGTTCGACTCCCCGTGGGAGCGAATTTCAGGCTGAGGTTAAAAAAATCCCCTCGCCCGTCACATGTGCCAAAACGCAGTAATGGTCCGGCCCAGGGTCTGGTCCGGCCTGTGGTTCCGTGTGTGTGCGCCTTGAGTGCCGCACGGCCCAGGTCCGGCAGACGCCTTCTCACTGGCCAAGGATACCGCTGCGTCAGGATGTGGACGGGGGTTCGGGGGTTTTCTCGATCTGTGTGAGAAGATCTTCTTCTTAGTAAGAAAACCCGGGGGCCGTCATAACCCCCCGCAGGTCGAGTTTTTTTATTATTATTTTGGGACTCTCCTTTGGCCATATCTTTATTTTGCCCCATTACTGGTTTCCATACTCTTGTGTTTTTTCATTGTCCCTGATTAAAATCCTCCTTATGCAACTAACAGAGAACAGAGGTTTATGAGTATGCAAAGGTTCTTGGCAATTCTCAGTATATTCTCTTGCCATTTCAACCATACAAGCTGATATATGCATATATGCTTGCGGAGGTTGGGAAGATTTCTGATTCACTAAAGTAGGTTATTGAATTATCATTTCCATATGTGTCCTTGGTTCATTTCCTTATTTCTTGGGTTCTTAGTTGACATTGAATTGCATTATGAAGGTATTGTCAAGCATCTCTGAAGGTGCTAAAGTCCTCTGGTCGTGCACCTGAACTAGAAGCATGGAAGCAATTGTTTATGACCCTGGAGGACCGGATACGTGCCCATCAACAGGTTTGCGTATATTGTAGTTGTTTTTATTTTAATTGAACATTTTTTTTCTTTTCACTGATAGTTGACTCACTGCTATTTAGGGTGGATATGCAACAAATCTTGCCCCTGGAAAGATTGTTGGAAAGCTTTTCACATCACTTGATAAATCTTTGTCCCGCATGATGGGTACACAAGCTGCACCGTTGCCTCAACTGCCGCAGGGTGCTGCAAATGAGAGAGAGGTTTATTCTCCTGATACAAAAGTTGTAAATAGTCAGTCAGTGATGTCCATGGCACCTTTAGTGTCTTCTGCTTCAGAGCAGTCTATGAGTGAAATTGGAGGAAATAGTGGCTATGGCAGGGAAGTTGCGCATAACAGAAGTATTTCTGAGCCAGACTTTGGCAAAACCCCCCAACAGGTACTTGTCTCTTGGTATTGTTTTCTGAAGATTTTTCAATTCTTTTTATACCTATACATATGATAATGCAGCAGGGTGCTGTATCAAGTAAGGCACAAAGCACATCAGGTTCAGGCAGTTCACGCTTTGGATGGTTGGTGCAGAAGACAATGGGGCTTGTTTCGAAATCTCACCGCCAGGTACTTTTTAGCAAATTAAATACAATTTGTCTATGCCTCTGGTTCTCTGCAGTAACATGGTTAACCTCCTGATGTTCTAAAGGCAAAGCTAGGGGAACAGAACAAGTTCTACTATGATGAGAAGCTGAAGCGGTGGGTGGAAGAAGGCGCTGAGATCCCAGCTGAGGAGCCCCCACTACCCCCACCTCCGTCAAAAGTGCCATTCCAGAGCAGTGTTCCAGACGCCAACTCGAATGCTCCTCCCACTGGTGGAGGTTATTCCTCAAATCCTCCGGAGCCTAGTTCCGGGATGCCACCGATGCTACCAACCCAGAACCAGTTTTCAGCACGTGGAAGGATGGGTGTTAGATCAAGGTGATTTGTTTAGTTGTTTCCCCTAATTCCTTTCTATATCATCTGGTTGCAACTGTATAACATTTCCTTCTGTAGATATGTGGATACTTTTAACAAGGGTGGTGGTGGTGGCGGTGCAAATGCCTTTGGAGCAGCGACATCATATAGCAAACCAGCGGCTCCATCTATAAATCCAATGTCTGGTGCGAAGTTCTTTGTGCCAACTCCAGCTACTGTTGCTTCAGAACAGATGGCTGAGCCAGGTGCCCACAGTGAAACCACCCGACGGGATGAACCATCGTCCTCACCAGCGATGGAGACAGCATTCAGTTCGGCGCCACCACAGATGCAGTCAACCATTCAGCGGTACCCAAGCAGTGACAACATTCAGCGGTACCCAAGCGGTGACAACATTCCGCGGCACCCAAGCGGTGACAGCATTCAGCGGTACCCAAGCGGTGACAACATTCCACGGCACCCAAGCAGTGACAACATTCAGCGGTACCCAAGTATGGACAACATTGTGTCCCCCTCGGGCAGCGTTAACAGCTCTATGTCAAGGTCAAGAGCGTCGTCATGGAGTGGAACATTACCAGAGCAGTTGAGCAGCACTGCTGCTACCAGGTCACCTGATGGACAGATCATGCAGTCACCATCGATGCCTGGAAAAAGACCTCTGCACAGCCGTTCCAGCAGCACTTCTTCCGCCCAGTTCAATGGTTTGGGTGAGGAACTTCACGAGGTGGAGCTCTGACACTTGGCTGCAGATTTTGCCTTTTTGACCATCATGTGATTTATTACTAGCTGGATGTGTGTCTAGAAAGCAAAGGAAAGGAAATTGAAGGAAAAAAAAAATAGAGTGGTGTCCCTTTTCAATTTTTACATGAGAAGCCTGTGGATGCCGCTGCATTGTACAGATAGTTCACTCGTTCACCAGATGAAAAATGTATAAGAAGAGACGTAGGTTCAAGATAGGAAGATGTAGAAAGGCTGACAATACCTCTTTTGCTTTGTGCTTAACACTTTTAAGATTAAAATCATGATGATTCATCATTGTTAAGATGGACGCTTGGCAAAACTTGGACAAATAAGGCCTTGTGGCTGGTAACCCGTAACCTCAATAATGTTGGTCCGCATCTTGTTGGTCCACCCTCGTGTACTTGATGAAACTCTCTTGTTCATATGCTTATTTGTGTTGTGTATGCTTATTTCTTTTTCCCTGTATCGACAAATGAGAGGAATGTATTTGTGTTGTGTGTATGCTTATTTCTTTTTCCCTGTATCGACTAATGATAGAATGCCGGTTTTGTATGGATGAAGCCTGAAAAATCGCACATGCATGACCCTTGGCAGCCATATGCATCCAACTGTTTGAATTGGCTGTCAAGAAATACAAACAATTAGAATGGAATGGGCTCAAATCGAAATAAAAGACCCTTAAGTGGTCTCTGTTTTGCCCCCCCTGCCTGAACAACGAACAGATTACAGTTGTATTCTAGTGTTTTGCCACAGCAATTAAAAAACAAGAATTTCATCACTCAGAAGAAATTAAAACATGGCGATCTGAATACTTTATAATTATTACTACACCAAACGCCATAAATTAGGGGCGATTGGAGGAAATTCAGTGTTATACTTATTAAAAATAACAGGATTACTCTTCCGCAGGTGACTTTTTTTTTGTCAAAGGGTCAGTCGCTCACGCTCAACTGCACCCTCTCTCTCTCTCTCTATATATATCTCATCTCCAGCGAGCTCCTCCCTGGTGGCCGCGCCCCCCACCCCCTTCTTCCCCAACTCTAGCAGGCTTAGAAGAGAAAGGGTTTGGGGAGGAAGGCCGACGAGACTGTGGAGACGGCGGCAAGGCGGTTTAGTGGCTCTGGCGGCGGACGGGCCAAGTTGTGGAGAGGGAGCTCCATGGCCGGAGCTCGCCATGGAAGAAGGGGTAGAGGGGAAGAAGGCAGCCACCGCAACACCGGAGCGGAACTCCGACGAAACCTTGGCACGCTGCAACGGGGCGGTGGGAGGCGGCGGGGGTGAGAAGGAGGAGGGCGCTGGCGAGGACAAGGAGGACGGCGCCGGCATGAGGTTGCGTCAGTCACCTGCAACTGATATACACCCTAAAATAAACAAAAAAATCATCTTTTTGAAGGACAAAACTAGAACATAATAAGGGCTTGTTGGGCACAGCTCACAAAAGTTTCATGAGCTGTTGTGAGCTGTTTTTTTTTACCAAACACTCATTTCCAAAACAACTTCATAGGTGAAGCTGTTGTTATTCTCCTCTCACAAAGATATGAGTTGTGATGAAGCTGAAGAAAGAAGCTTATCCCAGCTCTCTCCCTCATTTATCTCTTTTATCCATGTATGAAGCTATTTTACCAAATAGTTTTTCCAAAATAGTTCAACTTCACCTAGAAAATTGTCCATAAAATTGCTTTTCCAAAAAAATAGCTTTGCTAGTGAAGCCGAGGAGTGCCAAACGGGACTATAAACTCATAGCTAGGAGTACTTAACTGCCAGGCGGCAGCCCTACTTTGGGTGAGTCTCCTAAACGAACCGCCGCAACCGACCTCTCCTCTCGTATCGAGTAGATAGATCCAGCCAAAATTCATTGCTAGGGTTCGACAAAAGCCCAAGGAATCGCGGGAGAAAATCAAATCCAGCGACACATCCATCCATGGCCCTGTATAGATTGAGCAAACAGAGCTTTCATCCACAAGCCGTCGTCTCCCCCGGCGCCGGCGACGAGGATTAAATCCCTTGGATAGTCATCGAGAACCAAGCCTACGTCGCCGACCACCGCAACATCACCACCGCCTTCTCAGATTGCAGGTGCAACGGGCAGGTTCAGGTCACCCTCTTCGTTGCCACTCCGCCGCGCATCTCCTACCTCTGCATCTTCTGCCGCCGCCGTGGCCCCTGCCCCGTCAGCGGCGGTGGCGGAGAGGACCACCATACTTATGATGATGATGAGGGACAGATGATCCCCGTCGAGCCGGACATTATCGCCACGGACGAGGACCTCGTCCTCCTCCGCATCGCCGTCAGCGATGGGAAGGACCGGCACCAGACCGACGCCTTCGACTTCTTCGTCTACCAGCCCACCGGCGACGGCAGGCCGTTGCTCACGCGTCTGGGGCGCCCCAACTCCTACTGCGATTACGGCTTCAATGGCTACCAGGTTGGCCTTGTGAGCTGCACCGCTGACCGCCGCGACAACCACGACGGGAGCAGCAGAGGCGGCCCCTCCTTGCTGCGCCCCCACTACATGGTCGCTGCTCTCTCTCAGGACTTATATGATAGGTCCGCGCTTGCACGCGGTCGCTTCATCCTCCACCTCTGCAACTCCAAGCTCCAAACCTGGACTGACATCAACGTCTCGCTGTCGGGTCAACACTACCAGAAATATCAGAATGAAGAAGGCTACTTTCTCCATAATAACACCAAGGTTATCACGGTTGGAGGGGAAGATGCCACCATAGCCCTGGGTCTGTTTGCTCGAATTTATCAGCCGACTTATCAGTTAGAATCTATAGTATTTTTCTTTCACAATAAATCAGTCAAGACCGGCTTATCAGCCGGCTTTAATACCAGCCGAACAGGCTATTTGTCGATCTCTGGAGGGGCATCCTCTCCACTACCAGAAACAGTAAATATGCCGAGTGTTTTTGTTTGTCGAGTGCATTTCATCGGGCACTCGGCAAAGAGCTGATTTGCCGAGTGTAGTGAAGAAGACACTCGGCATACATATTGCACTCGGTAAAAAACCTGATTTGCTGAGTGTAGTAAACCAGACACTCGGCAAACAACAAGACGACACTCGGCAGTGAATTGACACTCGACAAAATACTATCACGTGACTGGCACGTGCGACGGCCGTCTGACGGCGTGCCGGCCGTTATCAAAAGTGCTACTTTACCGAGTGTTTTTTCCCAGCACTCGGCAAAATTATAAGTTTGTCGAGTGTTTTTATAGGCACTCGGTAAAGCCAAAACTTTTTTTCCTCTTCTACCCTCCAAACTTTTTCTACTCTCCACATACAACATGTGGTACTACATGTAAAAATTTGGTATATTTCTCGATCTGTTTGGTATATTTAATTAATTTATTGCATTTAGAGGAATTTTTTTGGTATAAATCAAATTTGAACTGCAAGTGATTCAAATAATGGAATAAAATGAGTGGGAAATGATATTCATGTTATTGAGTCCATTTTGAGGCCTTGCCCGAAAAATGAAAAGAAATTTCGAACATTTTGTTTAGGAAACACGACCACGAACATGTGGCCGAATGGTTTTGAAATTCTAAAAAAAGCAAACGAAGTATGAAAATCACGAGATTTGTCAAAATCTCATGATATCATACGTGGAGGCTGTGGTAAAAAATTGAGAAGGTTTCGCATAATTTGTCACATACAACGCTTACAAACCGAAGCATCTCCGAAGAAGATTCGTAGCGTTGAGAATGATCCGATAAGATTTGGAGTCAAAGTGACGGTCGAATTGGGGTTTGACTTCATAACTTTTTGTATAGGCAATAGACAACATAGATTGGTTCACATCAAATTTTGGTAATTTTTTGGATCCGTTTGATAATTTTAATTTATGAACTGCAATTATAGATTTTTAATTGATATAAATTGAATTTGACCTATAACTGCATGAAATAATGGAATAATATTCGTAGAAAAATCAAATATGCATTGTCGAGTGAATTTGACAAGATATTTTTAAATCACAACGTAATAAATTTAGTAAAACAAGCTATGAAGAAGGAGGATAGGTGGGCATGAAATATCAATTTATTTTGCCGACTGTTAACTACACGACACTCGCCAAACAATATAGTTACCGAGTGTCATATAGTGGACACTCGGCAACATACCTAAGCCGCCTCACTTACCAGTACCGTACCAGTTGAAAATTAAAAAAAATGTCGAGTGCCCGCAATCTGGCACTCGACATACCTTTACTTTGTCGAGTGCCAAATCATGGGCACTCGGCAAAGCCCTTTGGTTTTTACCCTAGTTGGGTGCACACTTACTCACACACACTCACAGACTCACCCACACTCACGCACACCGTGCCACGCCACCGTACCGCTGAAAGCTCTAGTTTAGTTTTGGTGAATTAATGAAACCCTAAGTGCTAACCTAGTTTATCAAGTGATAATGAGATAGGTAGCACACTCCAAGTGGTGAAGCAAATGAAGATCATAGCATGATGATGATGATGATGGCATGGTGATGATCAAGTGCTTCGACTTGGAAAGAAGAAAGAGAAAAACAAAAAGCTCAAGGCAAAGGTATAATTTGTAGGAGCTATTTTGTTTTGGTGATCAAGACACTTAGAGAGTGTGATCACATTTAGGTTTGATAGTCGTACTATTAAGAGGGGTGAAATTTGTATCGGAATGCGGTTATCAAAGTGCCACTAGATGCTCTAACTCATTACATATGCATTTAGGATCTAGTGGAGTGCTAACACCCTTGAAAATCTTTGTGAAAATATACTAACACATGTGCACAAGGTGATACACTTGGTGGTTGGCATATTTGAGCAAGGGTGAAGAAGTTAGAGGTGAAAAGGAGTTAGTGTCGCTGGCTATACAGTGACTGGACGCTGGACCTCTGGGGGACCGGTGCGTCCGGCCATGTATGGCAGTGAAGACGCCAGCGTCGGTGAATGACCGGACGCTGGGTCATGGATAGACTGGACGCTAAGGGTCTGGGTCCGGTCGTGTTGTCGGTTG